CTTTACCAGCAGATTTATTGTCCAGACAGAAGAATCTATTTCCATTTTCTATCTAAGACCTGAATCACTTTCCTGCAGAAACTGCTCAATGGTTTTCTTTTCTTTCTTTAACTGTTTTGTGCGAGTAAAGAGGATTAAAGTGTATTTTTCCATCTGCTCTCCGAACACTTCCTTGAGTGTCTCCACTGTGTTTTTGTCCTCCTCTGTGAATGTACCCAGTTTAATCACGATAATAAAAGCATGTGGTCCAGGAGAGGCGTAAGTAATGCATTTCACTATTTCAGTTTTAACCTCCTCATCAGTGAGTTCAGTATCATAAAGTCCAGGAGTGTCGATCACTGAGATCTCTTTACCCATCCTCACTGTAGTTTCTGCCTGACACTGTTTCGTCACAGAGTTTGAACTGGTTAAAGATTTAAACAGGTTTCTGCCGATGATGGTGTTTCCGGTGGCACTTTTCCCAGATCCAGTTTTTCCCAGCAGAACCAGCCGAATCTGGTCTTTCCTCTCAGGAATCACATCAATCTCATCTGAATCTTGAGATGGAGGCTCTCCTGAAACTACAACAGAAACATCAAACCACATCAATGCACTGTTTAATTATATCTCAATAATGTTGCATATAATGCATTTGTAGACGCTCTTAATTAATTCGAGCATGACAAACATAAAACACTGGTGTGTAATATTGAAGGAATATACAACAAATCATCTTACAGTCAATAATTATTTCCTTGCTGTCAGTCCTTATTCGGTCCATGGTAAATTTCTCACCGTTCTCCGTCATCATTCCTTCAATCTTCTGCAGCAGTTCTGGGACTTGATCACCATGTTTACACTTGTTATTGAAACAGTGAAACTTTCCTCCACATTTAGTCACCAGTCGCTGGAGATCCTCGTGATCTTGTAGATGTTCCTCAATGGTCTGATCCAGATCCTCCAGCTCATCTCCGTGTGTGAACAGAATCATGATGTACTTCTGAAATTCAGGACCTAATAAACCTTTAATATAATCCAGGATCTCCTCCTCGTTTTCCACAGGTTCCTCCAGAGGAACGGTGAGCAGAACTGCACTGAGACCTGATGAACATCGAGAGACCAGCTGATCCTTCATCTTCTCCAGCTTCTCTTTATACAGATCTGGATCCAGTAGATCTGGGCAATCAATCACACACACCTGCTTCTCTCCGGTCTGATTTACTTCCTCACACACTTCAGACTCATGCTGTTTCTTATGTTTGTTGATCTTAAACCTCTTTTCTCCCAGTATAGTGTTTCCAGATGAGCTTTTCCCAGAACCCTTCCTGCCCATCAGAAGAACCCGGATCACTGGATCATCTGGACTGGAGCTGATCGTCGACATCTCTGAAAGAGACAGAAAATATGGAGTGTATGACTGCAAAATGAAGGCAAGACAACGTTACAAGTTTAAATACAAATACAAGTTTAACCCCCAGTTTCACAGACAAGGTTTAATCTAGTCCCAGACTAAACTGCATGTTTGAGCTGTCTGACATATTTATTCAGATCTGCTTTCAGTTCAGTGTACTTGTTTTGTCTCAATATGAACACCTGTAATGTTTTTTTAAATAATAAAACTACTTAAATATACTAATTGAACTAAGGCCTAAACCTTGTCTGTAAAAATTGGCCTAATAAAACTTTTAAAAAAAATTAAAAAGTTAAAAAAATTGATAATATTTGCCCTAGCAACCACCTAGCAACACCCCAGCAACCACCCAGAATACCCTAGCAACCACCCTGAACACCTTAGCAACCACCTAGCAACACCTTAGCAACCACCCAGAACACCCTAGCAACCACCTAGCAACACCTTAGCAACCACCCAGAACATCCTAGCAACCGCCTAGCAACACCATAGCAACCACCCCAAATACCCTAGCAACCACCCAGAACACCCTAGCAACCAGGTGGTGAGATTTCCCTCTGCAAGCACCACTTCACATTCTCTTCTGGAAATGTACATTCTTGTTTATAATGATATTCAGGGGAAACATGATTTATGAAGAACATTATCTCAAACTTAACTACAACGAAACACTTAGACACACTGAAACAATCCAAACTAACTCACATGAAAGTACCTGTTTCTTACTTTAACAGAGTAAACACACACTCGCTTACCAGGAAGAGTTTCAGTCCTCGTCACCAAACTGATCATATCCAAAGAAAATCCTTCTGAGAAAATGATTTAACACAAATAATAAGCAATTCACAACATAAGAACAATCTCAACAAATATCTGTCCTGTTTTATAAGATCAATAATTTAACACATCGGCTTAAAAACACGCAGTTGCTCACCAGGAGTCGAGCTGCAATTCCAGTTTGTTGAGATTTTCTTCCAGTTTGTTGAGATTTTCTTCCACTTCTGGAAAGGCTCCTCCCTTCTGCTTTTCCCCTGAACAACACATCCCTGATTCCTTATTTGTAGATTAAATAAATGAAGACTTCAGATGCAAAAGCCTCTAAGTCCGTCTAAAGTTTTTGTTTAATATTAACATCTCCATCAGGCTCCTATGTATAAGTTTCTACCCAAGGCTGGGATTTAATGAGTTTGAAGTGAAAGTATTTAGTGAGCATATACTATTTGCAGAGAGCATTCACTCAACATTATTATCTCATTTTTGACAGATGTGGCTTTTTTTAGAGGCTTTTGCATTGAAAGTCTTTAAATGTTCACAGAACACATTACAAACCCTCATGAGAAACAAATTATAATGCACAAAATCACCAGAAACATCATAAGAGTGTTTGTTTATTTATTCTGTCAATAATTCATTTATTCTGCCAAGTTTATGAGCGTCCCACTGGGAATTGTCCCGATGGCCACGAGCCGGTTTCAATCTTTTGGCTCAGAACCCATTATATGACAACACTGGTGTGATATGAACATTAAATGCGTCATGTGGTCATATCCGCAGTCATGATTTGACAGGAATGTGTTTACCGTGAGGGATTTGTTGTGTCACGTGACGTCGCATTCACTGAAGAAAGCATCGCTGATCAAAATCACTCACCCATATTGGTGGAAGTGAGAGACTGTGAATTTGTATTATTTGCATGTAATATAACTGTAAAATACTTGAGCAAACTCCTCACACATTGTTTTTAAATGCACACAAAGATATTTTTTTATATTTAGTAACTCTCAATAAATAGAGATGATTTAAATTGTTTAAATATAGCTACATTTTGGGGTTTGGGTCATGTCCATCCATCAATTCATCTACACATTCTCCAAATCGCTTTTACCAAGTAATAATTTAAGGCCATTTTAAAATCTCAGAAATATCCCAATAAAAAACTCTTCACATCTGCACTGTTTCTGAAACTCAACTAATTTAGGTTAGATACTTAAATTATTTCATTATAGTGTGAAAAGAATTTCTATATGTGTAGGGTTAGGGTCATGTGATGTCTATCTAACTTGATAAAAAAAAACATTTATATTGTGCCTGTCAGCTGATGAAAATGATTTATTCTTTAATCCCTTCCAGAAAATAATCTTTATTTTACATGTCATTTAAATTCAACATCACTGAGCCCAAAGGCAGCAGGAATCATGTATATAAATATTTTAGAAACAGTTCTGACCAAGTCCAACAAAAATCCAACAAAATAAACAATGAACAAATAAAATAACCAAAAACTTTCATATTTTTAGAAAGGATGTGAACTAAAAAAACAGCAGGTTAAACAAAGATAAATTGATTAATTTACAGAATTATCCATTTGTTTTTCGACAGGGAACATATTAAACGAATCACCGGTCCAAATTTTGATTGACAGCTGTCACAACCTACGAGTGACCGTGTTTACTCCTTTCTTTTCAACCATTGGGTACAGCTGTTGTATTTGTACTTATGACGAAGCGCAGCAAAAGTAATAAGTAAAATGCTGTTTTAAAAAGGCAAAAAAACACATGGCGTTGTTAGGGGTTAACAGTCAAAAGACCCAGAACCAGATATGAAGAATGAAGACCCAGAGTCAGAATTATAAAAAATTAAAGAAAGTTTTACTGAACATAGTTTGCCATTTCATCAGCAGAAGTCAGCTTCAAGACTCACTCAGGAGTTCGTAGGCCGCCCCCTTACAGTTACAAAGATCACAGCAGTCACGTTGAATGATTCTCATTGGCTAAGAAATAGATAAACACAGTCATTTTCCACACATATACAGATAGACGGAGCATATCTCCATCGATTATGTATCTGACATTCAGAGGCACGTCATGACCTTCCAGGTCACAGATTTGGGTTGCTGGCACCAATATGTCCAGAACAACTCATTCAACCTCCAATAATGGCAGTGGTTCCTTAACCTGCAACTGGAGTAATGGTGCCTTAAACTATTGGCTTCAATGACCCCTTTATGTTTTAACACTCAAACACAAACCAAATCCTTATTTTCCTATTATTTTCACTGTTAACGCATTCACATAGGACACTAGCAAATAAGAGCTCCTATCAAGGCTGAAGAGAGTCTGAGCGGCTTATTATCAGTTAAGTGTACCAAAACATAATGGTAAAACATTCACTCGTTTGGGAGAAAAACAGATAACATTTGCTCCTCAGGAAGCAAATATAATAGAAAGAATACATTTTAATATAACAACTAAAGTTCAATAAAGCAATGCTCAATAGAGCTTGACCATCGGTACAGAGAAGTATCCTATGTGTTGGACATATGTGTTCACGACGCCTTTATGATCCATAAACCTCTCTCCTGAGACCAGAGAAAGAGACAAATGGCCTTGTGCACCAAATAGAACCTGGTGACTTACATCAGCATGCATTTAAGAATATTATTTCACAAGCAAAAGCACAAAGAATAAATTTATATGTCGATAAATGATTAAGTAACAATGAATATACTTAATTATTGATTTTATAAAAGAAATACATAAGCATTCAACAGAATATATGATATATATATATATGCTGAAGAGGCCAGGGATTTTGACCACCCCTTCAACGTTTTCTTAATATTTTTTAAAATATATTATTAAAAATTATATTATCATATTATATAATTAATAATATGACATTTAAAAACCAATAGACTGATGAGCAACCATAGCAACCAATAACGTTTCCCCAGGAACGATAGCAACCAATAACGTTCCCCCAGCAACCATAGCGACCAATAACGTTTACCCAGGAACGATAGCAACCAATAACGTTCCCCCAGCAACCATAGCGACCAATAACGTTTCCCCAGGAACGATAGCAACCAATAACGTTCCCCCAGCAACCATAGCAACCAATAACGTTTCCCCAGGAACGATAGCAACCAATAACGTTCCCCCAGCAACCATAGCAACCAATAACGTTTCCCCAGGAACGATAGCAACCAATAACGTTCCCCCAGCAACCATAGCAACCAATAACGTTTCCCCAGGAACGATAGCAACCAATAACGTTCCCCCAGCAACCATATCGACCAATAACGTTTCCCCAGGAACAATAGCAACCAATAACGTTCCTCCAGCAACCATAGCGACCAATAACGTTCCCCCAGCAACCGATAACGTTCCGGAGGGAGGCTTTCTACATCTTGCTTAAACAGTTCCCTTTTATTAGGGAAACGAATTAAACACGCATAGCAGTCAACAATAAATCAAGTATATATCAATACATTTGAATAATAAAAATAAACTTTTTTTTTTTTTTTATCAAACTTGCCTGGGCGGGCCAGTAAGTAATGTGGGCGGGGTAGTGCCGCCCTGGTCCAGCCTCAGATAACTTGTCATTTATTTACAACATCATCAACCTTATTTCTTCTTATTCTTTTGATGCATGTTGCTATTTTTTGGGGGGATATTTTAACCTCAATTCTTACACATGGCACCTTTAATAAAAAAAGTTTTTTTTTTTATAAAAGTATTCAGTATAAATGGGATTTAGATAAGATTAATCTGTCAGACACTACTGCTGCTGTTCACTGGAAGCAAGGGTATTCCCTCTGAGTTCTCTATCTGAAGGGATCTCTCAGGATCTTCTCTGTTGATCTCTCTCCCACTGTTCCCTGTAAGAAAACAGAAAGAATCACAGATGGTGAAAAGACAGTAATGACTGTTGATAGTGTGTTAGTGTTTATGTACAATACACTGCCATACAGAGTGTAAATGTCATCAAACGATATATATTTTAGCCAAATATAAGTCTTTTTAATAAATGGTGTTTATAAATGTTGGCTTTTTAATACTGGGGCATGGATGTAGGACTTCTAACTTTAAACTTAACATTTGAACTTAGATCTCTGTGCAGATGTCTTTTATAGCATCTGCACAAGAGAGCTGATCTAAATAAGATCATTATAATAATCAATAACTTGTGCTAGTACTCACCCCAAATAGTAACTTTGAATCGCTTGTATTTGGTCTCGCTGCTGCTAATGATCTTGAGTTTATAAAGTCCACAGTCAGTGTTTGTGATGTTTGTGATGGTGAGAGATCCAGTCTGACGGTCCAGCTCCAGTCTGTCCCTGAATCTGCCATTAACACCATCATATGTTGACATTTTATTGTTCTCCATATCAGCTTTAGCTATAAGATTGTCTTCGGGGCCAAACATCCAGAGTATCAGAGCATCTCTCTGTGGTTCATGAACATCAGTGTTTAGATTGGCAGGATCTCCCTCCATCACTCGCACTTTGATTTCTTCATGTCACAGAACCACATAGAAGAGAAATGTGCTCATAAGATCAAGTTAAACACATTTAGATAACCCTTTGAGGATTAGTTAATTATATAAATTGTAGTTTTGTAGATATAAACAAATATTATTATGTTAAAAGTCATGAGATACTCACCATCTGCAATAATCACGAATCTCTTGCATCTATTCACTGTGCGGCTGCTGATCTGGAGTTTATAAACATCCGAATGTGCGATGCTGATGTTCCAGATGATCAGAGATCCGGTCTGGTGATCCAGCTGAAGTCTGTCTCTGAATCTCACATCGTTACCACGATAAACTGAGGTCTTACCGGTGGCTCTGTTGATTTCAGCAATGCAGGTGTCATTATCTCCATGTGTCCACAGGATCTTACTGTCTTCCTCTAGTTCAGGGACATCAGTGCTTAGAGTGACAGATTGCCCCGCTGTCACTTTTAGTGTATCCACTTCATGTCACGTCAAACATGCAACAGAAAAATATGGAAAAATATGATCATAATAGCATGCAGGTTCAATACTGAGTATAAGGGGTATTAACATCATCATTTCATTAAAACTCAAGCTACTTACACCATACTGTAACTCTAAACTTCTTATACCAGACATTATTTCTGCTGCTGATTTGTAGGTGGTAAACTCCAGAGTCTGTGCTTTTGGTGTTTTTGATCCCGAGACATCCAGTCCCATCATCCATCTCCAGTCTGTCTCCGAATCTCCCGTCATCACTATCATTATATGAACGGTGATTGGTGCCTCCATCTCTTTTAGCTAAAATGGTGTCTTCAGATCCAAACATCCAGAGCACTTGATCATCCCTCTGTAGTTCACTAACACCGGTGTTTAGAGTGACTTTTTCTCCCTCTGAGAATCGTAGTGAGTCCACTGCATGAGCACCCAAAAACATGAAGAAAATAGAACATGAGAACAAACGACCCAACACCTGTGAAGAGACGACCCAACACCTGTGAAGAGACGACTCAACACCTGTGAAGGGACAACTCGACACCTGTGAAGGGACGACCCAACACCTGTGAAGAGACGACTCGACACCTGTGAAGGGACGACTCAACACCTGTGAAGAGACGACCCAACACCTGTGAAGAGACGACTCAACACCTGTGAAGAGACGACTCAACACCTGTGAAGAGACGACTCGACACCTGTGAAGAGACGACTCAACACCTGTGAAGGGACGACTCGACACCTGTGAAGAGACGACTCAACACCTGTGAAGAGACGACTCAACACCTGTGAAGAGACGACTCGACACCTGTGAAGAGACGACCCAACACCTGTGAAGGGACGACTCAACACCTGTGAAGAGACGACCCAACACCTGTGAAGAGACGACTCGACACCTGTGAAGAGACGACTCAACACCTGTGAAGAGACGACTCAACACCTGTGAAGAGACGACTCGACACCTGTGAAGGGACGACTCGACACCTGTGAAGGGACGACTCGACACCTGTGAAGGGACGACTCGACACCTGTGAAGAGACGACTCTACACCTGTGAAGAGACGACTCAACACCTGTGAAGAGACGACCCAACACCTGTGAAGAGACGACTCTACACCTGTGAAGAGACGACTCAACACCTGTGAAGGGACGACTCAACACCTGTGAAGAGACGACCCAACACCTGTGAAGGGACGACCCAACACCTGTGAAGGGACGACCCAACACCTGTGAAGAGACGACTCAACACCTGTGAAGGGACGACTCAACACCTGTGAAGAGACGACCCGACACCTGTGAAGAGACGACTCGACACCTGTGAAGAGACGACTCAACACCTGTGAAGAGACGACCCGACACCTGTGAAGAGACGACTCAACACCTGTGAAGGGACGACTCAACACCTGTGAAGAGACGACTCAACACCTGTGAAGAGACGACCCAACACCTGTGAAGAGACGACCCAACACCTGTGAAGAGACGACTCAACACCTGTGAAGAGACGACCCAACACCTGTGAAGAGACGACTCAACACCTGTGAAGAGACGACTCGACACCTGTGAAGAGACGACCCGACACCTGTGAAGAGACGACCCGACACCTGTGAAGAGACGACTCAACACCTGTCAAGAGACGACCCAACACCTGTGAAGAGACGACTCAACACCTGTGAAGAGACGACTCAACACCTGTGAAGAGACGACTCAACACCTGTGAAGAGACGACTCAACACCTGGAAGAGACGACTCAACACCTGTGAAGAGACGACTCAACACCTGTGAAGAGATGACCCGACACCTGTGAAGAGACGGCCCGACACCTGGGAAGAGACGGCTCAACACCTGCGAAGAGACGACTCGACACCTGTGAAGAGACGACTCGACACCTGTGAAGAGACGACTCTACACCTGTGAAGGGACGACTCAACACCTGTGAAGAGACGACTCAACACCTGTGAAGAGACGACTCAACACCTGTGAAGGGACGACTCAACACCTGTGAAGAGACGACTCAACACCTGTGAAGAGACGACTCAACACCTGTGAAGAGACGACCCAACACCTGTGAAGAGACGACTCAACACCTGTGAAGAGACGACTCAACACCTGTGAAGAGACGACCCGACACCTGTGAAGAGATGACCCGACACCTGTGAAGAGACGGCCCGACACCTGGGAAGAGACGGCTCAACGCCTGTGAAGAGACGACTCAACACCTGTGAAGAGACGACTCAACACCTGTGAGGAGACGACTCAACACCTGTGAAGGGACGACTCAACACCTGTGAAGAGACGACTCAACACCTGTGAAGGGACGACTCAACGTCGTCGTCGACGATCCAACACCTGTGAAGAGACGACCCGACACCTGTAAAGAGACGACTCAACACCTGTGAAGAGACGACTCAACACCTGTGAAGGGACGACTCAACACCTGTAAAGAGACGACTCAACACCTGTGAAGAGACGACTCAACACCTGTGAAGGGACGACTCAACGTCGTCGTCGACGATCCAACACCTGTGAAGAGACGACTCAACACCTGTGAAGAGACGACTCATCTCCTGTGAAGGGACGACTCAACACCTGTGAAGGGACGACTCGACACCTGTGAAGGGACGACTCGACACCTGTGAAGGGACGACTCGACACCTGTGAAGGGACGACTCGACACCTGTGAAGGGACGACTCAACACCTGTGAAGAGACGACTCAACACCTGTGAAGAGACGACTCAACACCTGTGAAGAGACGACCCAACACCTGTGAAGGGACGACTCGACACCTGTGAAGGTACAGTTTGTTAAAAAGCAGAGGCTCTGTTCTTTGTTCAGATATTAATACAACAAAATATTATGGGGCTTCTCTCTATTAACATCATGCTGGCAGGGAAAGAGTTAAACATCCTGTTTCACCCAGAAATCACATTAGTAAAAATGAGCTGCGAACACCATATCCTGACTATAAAAAGTAATCTAACAGACCTACAGTGATTGGCCCCTAATAACCAAGCAAGAAAGCTAAAGTAGCATCACTTATAATTTTGTTTCCAATGAAAGATTGAGCTACTCACCATAGAGAATAACCCTGAATCTTTTGGATTTGGTCTCTCTGGTGCTGATGAGCTTCAGCTGATAATCTCCCGACTGTGTGATTTTGACGTCTCTGATGGTGAGATCTCCTGTCTCACTGTTCAGCAGCAGTCGGTCTCTGAATCTCTCGTCATCGCTAGGTAAAGCCTCATTGGTCTTTAAAGAAATTTGAGCGATGATTGAGCCTTGAGGTCCAAACGTCCAGACTATTTTATCATATCTCTGTGGTTCGGTTATGCCAGTGTGTAGAGTGATAGAATCTCCCTCCGTCACTTCTTTTGTCTTCATTTCATCTGTTCATTGCACCCAGAGAATAAAAAGATTGTTTCTCGGAAATTAAACTGATATAACTGCCAGGAAAATCAGTAAATAGACACAAATTTAACTTTAATTGACTGATAAACCTCACTTGTCCTCAACCTGGTTTGTCGCTCCAAATTTCAGAACTTCAAGAAACTCCGGAAATGTGTAGTTTAATAGCACACAGTAACAGTTTCTCACTCTTATTGTGCTAAATGATCTCCTTGAAAAGTACTTAAGTAAGCAAACTTGACTCTGTAATACTTACGCTTTAGTCTCGAGTACTTGCGGCGATAGTAACACACACCAGCGGTTACAACTGCAGACCCAACTAGCAGCACACAGAGACAAATCAGTATGGCCAAAGCTACTGGAGACAGACCTGGCTCAGGAACCGCTAGAGAGAGACAGTTATTAGTGTAAATGTGTCCTGAAAGTCTGACCGCACATGAAAACTATGAATTAGATAAGTAGTGGTGCGTTCACACCGGACACGAATTGCACATCAGGCGCAAGTGATTTCAATGTTATGTCAATGCAAAGATGGGTTATGCACATAAAATATTTCTGAAACTAAAATGACAGATTAGGTGGATGAGGGCGAGGGTGATCCTCGTTCCGATGCGGGACAACAGGTCAAATGGTGAAACTCGCCAAACAGTTCGCTTCCGAAGGGTCCGGTGGACACAAATACGGCGATGACGAACCCTACGCCGGTGTTCTGCTCTCCAGAGAAAATACAGAGCGGTAACTCTCTCAATGAATGCTTGAATAACATAAAAAAGATGGCCGCCAATGGGTTTCAAATCTGACGCGCGTGACGAACGTAAATTTCGCTTCAAACTTTTGTTTTTTCACGGGTCAATTTCGCTCTTGACGAGCCAATGGTTTCAAAGTGTTCAAGCGTATAACTAGACGCAGTAGGCACGAATTTGACACGCTATTTGCGTCTGGTGTGAACGCACAGTAAGGGATGATCCATGGCTAGCTTTGCATTCAATTGTTTGAATGTAGGATGTGGAGTCAAAGAGCCACCCGAGCCGAAGCGGAGTGCCTTCAAATGGGTCATTCCTTTTATTAATGATGTGAGATAGACTTGAGCTAGATCAGCAACGTTTCATGACACTTCAAAGTTGATTTTTTTCTTTATAATGTATTAATCGTTAGCATGACTCTAATTCAAATATGATTAGTTATAATTTTGGTGGCCGTCATTTAACTGTCAGGTGACCTATAGACCCGGTAGACCAATTAAACGGCTATTATACATCTTTTAAATAAAAAATAAATTGCAATGTAAGAAGGATCATTAAAGTGTGCTCTACTCACAGACAAACACGTTGAATCTCTTGTAGAAGGTCTCTTTAGTGTTGGTCATCTGTAGTTGATAAACTCCTGTATCTGTGGTTCTGGTGTTCGTGATGGTCAGAGATCCAGTGTGATCATCCAGTCTGAATCTCTCATTATCGCTGTACGAGATCTTATGGATCATAATGTCGATTTCAGCAACGAAAGAGTCTGGACTCAACGGTCCAAACGTCCACAGAATCACATCATATTTCAGTTTTTCATTGACACCAGTATGTAGAGTGATGGACTCTCCCTCTTTACTGTTTGTTATCCCAGCAAAAAACACATCTGGAGAACAAACAGGACTAGTTTTTCACAGCTTGATCACTGTAATTGTTGTATAAATGCTCAGGCGTGCTGTACTCACCGTGGACGGTCACACCGAAGGTCTGGTATGAGGTCTCAGTGCTGATGATCTTCAGCTGATAATCTCCCGAGTGTTTGGTCCTGATGTCTCTGATGCTGAGAGATCCAGTCTGATTGTCCAGCTGAAGTCTTTCTTCAAATCTTTCATCGTCCACATCATAAAACGAAGACGTCTGGCTTTTTCCATCGAGTTTAGCGATGATAGCGCTTTGAGCTCCATACATCCACATCAACAGATCGACCTTGTGTATGTCAGAGAGGTTCGTGTTTAAGGTAAGAGAATCTCCCTCCAAGACGGACACTTTCTTCGCTTCACCTGCGAACAAGAGCAGTTCCTCAGAGATTCATCAGGAAGCAGATCCCACAGTTATATAAGTGCAAATTATAACAGGGCAAAAGTCACATTTCAAATATTGAAAATTATTTATTGGATGAAACGACAAGAAAAAGATCTCATAAGATCAGGTGAGTGTGCAGAAAAAAGAAAAAACTAATTCTTACTAGTGAGTTTTAAACAAGTCCCACTGAAGTACCTTGAAACGCGCAGCTGTGTTTGATGCGTTGACGTAATTTCCACGCGAATTCATTCATTCATGCTTAACTAATGCACAGATAATACTGAATTAATGTGTAACTAATGATTATCTAAGCTATCCATTAATGATTACCACATTAGGAACTAATTAAGAGTCTGAAAGGTTAATGTATTAGTTCATACATTAATTGTTATTAATTAAATATGTATTTGTGGATTAATTCCATAATAACTCTTCTTTTTTTTAGCTAATAGTGTTAATATGTTAATTACCAGAATGAGCCAAAGCCTTGTATTTCAACTTTCAGATAATATGACAGGTACACTAATATGCATTAATACATGATTAATTACTTCATTGTTAGTGCAAATTCATGTGCAAATTACTACAATTACTAAATGACTAGTTAATAATGATGTGCCCCAGCAAGTAAAGTCATAACATAATGATACCTTTGCAAATCATTAGCTAATGATTAATTAAAGCAGACAACTGGAAGTTGAAGTGCATAGCTTTGACTAATTGTGGTAATTAACACATTAATTGTTGTTGTTGTTGTTGATACTTTATTTATCCCAAGGGAAATTTAATTTACACTATTAGTTAATAAAATATGTTATTAAGGAATTAATACACATTGACACAAAGAATTAATAGCAATTCATCTTAATCTATTAATCATATAGACTCTTTATTAGTTGCTGATGCAGTAATAATTAATTCATGGTTTAGTTCTTCATTAGTTATACATTAACTCATGATTATCTGTGCATTAGTTAAACATGAATTAATGCATATTAGTGCACCCATATTGTAAAGTGTTACCCAGATTTGTGAAGATTTACATTTCAAAGATTTTAGATATTTTTACTGTAAAACAAGGCAAGCAAATTCTCATTTTGCACTGTTAGGCTTATATAACCATGCTGGGAATCCACTAGCACACACACTTTGTCTCTTTAACTCATTAATGGAGATTATATTTGCCATGTTCACTCGCGGTGTCTAGATGAGACAAAGGAAAGATTCATGTTCCAAAACGGGCATAGTTGATTTGATATTCGCTATTTGCAAAATTAGGAAGCATCTATAAAGTTACACTTATGTTTCTAATGCTTCAATAGCATTTAGAGATAATGACTTACAGTAATAAGTGTTCATGGTGTCAGGAATGATGCACATTTTTGATTTCTGATATTTAATAAAGTAAACAGTCAACATATGCAACAATTGCCATGTATTTCACTACAGTATGGGATCATACACAGAAAACACATTAATTTAAAGCTCAATGGCATTTGAATGTCTTACAGTAATAACACCAACTGTAAAGTGTTGATAGGTGTCAGGTGTATGTCATGTTTGTCATATGTCTCAGTGAAATCGGGGTGAGCGAGGGCGAGGCACAGACTAACATGGTTTATAACTTTACACACATGCCAGCATGACGAAACTTAGTTTATTTAATAGTTTTCATATCAACATATAAGAATTGTTCCAAAATTAAAAAAAAAAAATGTTTTGAAGATATCACAGAACATTTATTTAACAAAAGTAAATTTCTTACTGACGTTTTATTTATTATTAAGTCTGTATTATTATTTTTTTAGCAGTTGAGAATCAGCAGAAGACTGGGTTTAAATCAGAGTTGCTCTGACGGGGCATGTTGTCACACAATGTTACAATGATGAGCCCCAATTAGAATTATTCTATTATATTCTATTTTATTATGTTCGATCCTATTCTGTTCTATTAAGAAACCATGAGAAAATAAAGACAGAGTCAAATTTTATTAGTATTATTTTATTTTTAAACTTTGCTGTTGTTAGGAAAGGATACAGCATATTAACTGCTGCAGTTTTTTATTTAAATTAACATGAATACTCGCAAACTGGCACAAAATAAACATGAACGGCGGAACCAGTCTGAAACACAGGGCTTAAATAACTAGACAACATGTGACAGGGATTAAACCAATGAAACACTATATGGATCAGAGTAAATCAAGAAAAAATAATACACTGTATTAATGAAAAACACCACATAATTGTACTAGATGTGTGAAACTATAGTGGGAAATAATAAATACTCCGAACCCTAAGTGAATTTACACAAACTGAGAAATGCACATTTGATTTGAGTTTACTTGAATAAATACCTACAATATAAAAGGTGTGCATCATAACTGACACCTACATATTTTGAAGTTGGTTGTATGACAGTAAGAATTATTTCCTGAAGTCACGTACATGTTAGTATCGTAACTTTATAGACGCTCCCTAAATGTGCGAATACCTAAAGTTAAACGTAAAGCAAACTTTATGCCAGAGTTAATCTCTAAAAGCGGTTCTGTGTTCATTAATGCGGTTTACATCTTCACAGAATACACACATCCCGAGAGTTCCCGTGGGACAATAAAGTGAAAGCATTTGCGTCACTCACCGTCCAGAAATACCAGGATCCCCGAGAGAAAGACGATGATCGTGATTCGGCTGTAGACTTCCATGATCCCGGCTTTAATAAACATGATTTTGCGCTGACATAAAACCGAACAACAGACCTTTACTAGTTTTAATGACGGATCTTCTTTTGTTCACACCCATCCATCACAGCAGTATTTTCCGCGTTTATACCGGAAAGCTTTAGATTTGACCCTTTCCTTTACTTTCCTCGTCGGTTCGTGCAGTGTAAGGGTTAGCTCTCCCTTAACGAGCCTCCGTTTCACATTAGGAATGCTAATGTGAAATGCTAAATGCTAATGCTCCTTTGCTCAGAAATGCTAATGCTCCGTTTCACATTAGAAGTACTTTCGGTTTGAGGAATTTCCACTCAAAAAGACTGGAACAGATCATTGCAAACCATAAAGTTGCACTGCCTATTCCTTATCATTAGTTTGACTAAACAAGCTTCCCTGTTCTATCGCAATACAATAGGCCTATTGGTATTTTAATGGTAGCTATAACAATGGAAGATGAATATCTTTACCTATTTGAATATTTCCCCACACATTTTTCCAACTTTCCAATGATTACAGGTTCACTACATCGAGTTATCATGTTCATTTAAGTTTAAGTTCATTTAAACACATTCTCCAGCCAAAGTTTCATGTAACCCTCTAGTCCATTAAAGATGAAAATGTGGAACACAATTTTAATTTCATTTTATTAATTTGTACAGTAGGCTACACACCTTGTTTATTAATGAAATTTAATATGAATTTAGCAACACACACACACACACACACACACACACACAAAATACAGGTTAGAACAGCAACACATTAAAATGATAACAAAAAAACTATATGAAAAATAATTTTCCATCATGGCATACAATATGAACATTTCTACTACGAGTAACCAAATAAAGTCCAGTTTCATATGAGGAAGAGAAGCAATATAAAAAGCCTATCAACAATAATATATAAGTATTAATATATGAAATAATAATAATAGATCGATCTGTATCTGTACAAGAAAAAATAGCTAGCTAGTTTCTCTGCCATTCTTCCTCGATGCTGAGATCCAGATCTCACTCAGGACAACTACAGATCTCGTACACGACTGATACACAAGATGCTCAGAGGAAACACACAACGTTACCCAGACGTGTTAGTTCTGAACAGGAAGATTGTGTAATCCTCCCAGTCTCTCTCTTGAAACCTCAACACGACAGTGAGTTAAACTGCAGTTCAGCGGCTGGCCACTGGAGGCTGGATGTGAAAGTGAGTCACATCTGTGTCTCCATGTTAAAATGCTAAACTTTACAGCAGAAAAAAGTTTAAGTTAGAATGCCTGCCCAATCTAACTAGTAGTAAAATGAATGAATAATAATTTAGCCATAAATAAAACGACCCACATGATGACCTTTCACCTGACGAACTCATCCGGGACGATTCCTCACGCTGCACGCGCATTTTTTAAATTCGCGCGGCTACGCGCAATCGCGCATTCCCAGAGGATATCTTCAACTCTTGCGGCTGCTGGTAAGTGGTGTTTTATTCTCAGCGAAGTGATTTTGATGTTTGTTTGCTTATTATTATTATTTTACTAGAACGACATGAAGAGAGCATGCAGATGTTGTTTGTATTGCTGTGTGTATGGCTAGAAGTAACGTTAGCTTGCTGTTTGAGAGAGAAAAGTTTCACGGGCGTGCCGTGGAGGGGTGTTATTTGACCAAAAACTATTATTTTTACTTTAAACTATTATTATTACAGTATTTATTTAAAAAGTTATATATAGAGCACATAAATTATTATTTTTTAAATGTTAAACTTTAAATTTGTCTTTTCTGTTCTGTTTCTTTTTCAAAACTACATCAATGCATTTGCTGCTGTATCGATGCAGAATCATCTGTATTGATATTTTGAGCACAGCCCTATTTAACGCCTTGTTGTGCCCCATTTTATACTTCGAGCACCTGCCCCTCCAGAGGTCTCTGCACGGCCCTGGTGTATATAGTCTGGTGCAAAAAGAGTTTTTTTTATGTTTTTCCCCCGTCTATATAGCTTATTTTTACCCTTCATGACGACTGTGAGGGTTTTTTTATAACTCATCCGTTTAAATCATATTAAGCCTTAAAGTTGTGTATAATAAACATTGTTTTCGATGGTCGTCTGCTAGAAGTTAGAATATATCAAGTTCACATACATAGGACAGGAAAATAAAGTCTTCACACACCGCACAAACATGTAATAATAGATACGCAGGAGCTGTTTGTCCACCCATCTGCATAAAGCACATTCTGTGTGTAACTCAAACCACAGCCGAAGCTTTCACTTTCACAGTCACCGAGTGCAGCACGTTTACTTTTCTCTTATTAAAGAATGGCAACCCAGAGTAGTTTTGATCTTAATAGTTTTTCAGAACTGTGAAAACCACTCTGGCATTCAAAAGTCATGTTTCTGCTTTTTTATCACATTAGAGAAGTGCACGTCTTTGAAAACTAAATAAGGAACACTCAGAAAAAAGGTACAAAAGCTGTCACTCGGACAGTCCCCTTCAAAGGGGCTCTAATATGTACCATTCAGGTACTATTATGTAGCTTCGAGGGACTAGTGTGCACTCTTTCTAACTTAAAGGTGCTATATGTAATTTTTCTTACATATTTTGGCTGTGTGTGAAGGGGTTGTAATCACACATTACAATGATCCACTTGTGGGGTTTTGATATTTCCTCTGAAGGCCAATATTCCTGTTTCTATGTGAAGTCTCCGGGTCGGATTTTCTGCGAAATCCATCGGATGTGACAACACATTCTCATCCCAAACAGTCATATAACTGACGTCTTGGGACGTCTTTTGACCATACGTCAATATCCGCCTTTTTAGGGCCCCCTTAAACGTCGGTAGATGGCGATCCCGGGCCGTCATACAACTGACGCTTTACCTTTAACGTCAGTTAGGTGACGGGTTAGGTTTAGGTCTGGGGTAGAGTTAGGATCCCATAACCTCATCTACCGACGTTTAAGGGGGCCCTAAAAAGGCGAATATTGACGTATGGTCAAAAGACGTCCCAAAACGTCAGTTATATGACTTTTTGGGATGAGACTGCGTTGGATGTGACGTGCATGCGTGGTCCCGAGACACACTTCAACACAACACACACTCCCGAGCCTCTCTCCTTTATATACAGTCAATGCGACGGCACTTTAGCTCACGGCATGAGTCTGATAACACCAAAACACTCCTGCCTCCAGCAAAACACACACTCCAACACAAACTCCACATAAATATAACAAACAAAAAAAATCTGCTGAAGCTCATCAGGCCAAATGACAATCAGATCGAAAACACGGATCAACATGGGCACAGCGTTTGATACATGGAGAGATCTCCGCTTTGTTAGATACACGAATAGTAAGTGAAATGCCTGATGCTAGATAACAGCACAGATGTAGCGTTATCATGTACGAGCATGGAGCATTAGTTCAGTCCAGCGGATAACAGTAGCCTAGCGTTGCAGTGGGAGTTTACACGAGTGTCCATCATGTTGTGTGATGCTTTCTCCGGTGTGTGTAAAGTCTCAGTGTGTACCGTGTGTGTTTGCTCGTGTGTTCGAGCACGCGCGCTCTAGTTGCAATCTGAAACATCAACGCTAGAGGCTGCTAAAAACTACATATAGCACCTTTAACTTTTGAAGAGTGGTTTAACTACAGCTACAGAAGCTGGTGCGGGCGGTACCTTTTTCAATAGATACATCTTTGTACCTAAAGGGTACAAAGTTCTTATTGGTACCTAAAGTGTACCTTTTGAAAAGGGAGCGTCTCAGTGACATCTTTTGTACCTTTTCTTGAGAGTGCACTGAGAAAGTGTATCATCTTCTTACTGGTGTCAGAGTTAACTCGGTCTCGTACGCGTCTCTCATTGTCAAACCACATCCTTTAAGAAGCCTGTGTCGACTAAACTAAGCTACACGTTTCTTGTAAAAACAGTCTTATGTTTTGTCAGTGACGCACAGCCCTTTGCTGGGGCAGATCTTGATGCATATATACTGTATGTATATATATATATATATATATATATATACCGTATTCAAACACCTAATTATGTATGAAATCAAATATGAATTTCTTACACATTAGTGAGTTGGATTTTACTGCGCTCAGATGCATTCAGTGATGCCAACATAGACATTTTGTTGCTGGATTTAGCTATTTTTCTGAATGTCTAAGCAACTTTGTTTTCAAATAGTATCTATAGCAACAAATTTAGCTACTTTTAAAATGTATTTTATAGCAACTTTTGAAACATAGCTAAATCAAGCACTAAAAAGCACACATTCAAATGACACACATATGTTTCTCTGCAAGACTTCACTGTAAATGACGGGGTCTCGTTTATAAAACTGTGCGTAGGATCTTTACCAAGAGTGTACGTAAGGCCGAGCCATTTTTAAAATCTAAATTTAAACTTTTAGCACAAAAGTCCCTTAACCCAAGGAAATGAGTCAGCAACAGTGGATTGAATGCTCCTCTGCGGAGATCTTCAGAGATTTCTGAGGCTATGTTTACACGGAAACGATTCTGAAGAGAAAACGCAAAAGTGGCATTGCGTCATCACTATTTATTCTGCGTTTAGACGAGCGATTTGTGTGGGAAATCCACGTGCAATTGGTGACGCAAAAGTGTGTGAAATTCAATGTAGTATGCACTTCAGGCGGCTAGGAGTGCATACTACAACAACACCAAGTCCACGCGCCTGCGTACAACCTTCACTGTCAAGCGACTTTTGTGTTTTTACCGTTTACACGGGAACACGGCGGTGGAGCGTTTTTAAGATTTCCACTCTGGAGGGTGGTTTCACTTTTTTGCGTTTTTAAGCCTCAAAAACGCCGTCGCCGAATAAACGAAAGGCACATCCGATAAAATATTTTTACGTTTTCACCCGCGAGCGTTCTCGTGTAAACAGGGCCTGAGTCTTCTGCTTGTTAACAGCAGGTCTTCATCACTAATCCTTAATCAATCACTTATTAGATTTTTTTTACTTGCATGTTGTGACAGACATTATACATTTTAAAATACATTCAATTGAACTCTAACTCAACAGAGAAAACATCAGATTAATTTATGCACAATGTACATTTTTTTGTCTCTGTCTATATTTTAATAAACATGAATGAAATAATATACAGTAATGTACACAAAACTATACATCTATATTTATTTAGTAAGCTGTTGTGCTGCAATGCCAAATCAGTGGGTTACATATTTACGAAGAGCTTGTGTGCAAATCAGCCGTGTGATAACTTGCGCAATGTTCAGAAATACAGTATTGTACACATTCAATAAACCATGGAAACCAATACAAGCTATAATAACGAATGGAAAACAAATACTTTTCCTGTTCTTAGACATGACATCAAACGTCAGAAAAACCTCCTGTTAACAAGAGTAACACAACTAATCATAGGACTTTTGTGATGTATCTGCTGTCCTGTCCAATCACACTCTTCTAGATCTGATCTCATAAATCAGTACAGCAACCGTAGCCACACCCACCAGGACAGAGAGGACCAATCGGATCACAGCTTCAGTAAAACTGTGGGCATAGTCTAAGAAGAGAAGACAAACTTTGTATTCTTACTATTTACTTGTATTTACACTTACACTAATTGTTTTATCTTACACTAACAGACATTAGTAATTAGTAAAAAAGATGGACAGGGTTGGAAACTGAGAATCGGTTCGTATTCAGTTCCAGTCATTGACAAAAAACAGAATAAAAAAAGGGAACTTAATTCTGTCAGTGACTTCTTCCTTAATAAACTTGTATGATCAGTCACATGAGTGCTTTACAAGCTGAAGATAGTCTATAGGAATATGAATCGAAAATAATTGGAATTATTAATCTGTGTTTCATTGGGATCTGACTTCACTCGTCTCTATGGACCAATAGTCACTCTGAGAAGGAAATAATAATGTTTCATACTCACTAATACAGGAGTTTGTGTGACAGAAGTGAGAAGCGTTGAGATGTCGAGCGCGGTGTGTGAGGGGATTGTGCAGCACACAGCTGTAGGTGTTGTTATCCTCATAGTCCAGCTCCAGATGGAGAGAGATGGAGGTGTTGAGCTCAGGGATGCTGATGGAGGACAGTAAACCGCCTCCTCTGTACCACGAGAGGGTCACCTGTGTCACGTTCATCACCGAACACAGCAACACACACCTGGATGGTGTTTCAGAAGAGTAGCTGCTGATCACAGGAATGGACAGGGAAGCTGGGAAATGTGAGAGAGGAAAGCAAATCACTGCTCACTTTTTAAAAAGCAGAGATCGGAAACAATTGTCTGTTTGAATCACGCATGAGAAATTATCGTATATCACAGTTTCTATGAAATATTTCATAAATGAGGCTCCTAGTCGGCATTTAGATGGGATTCATTTTTTTTAAAAACGGACCCAAAGAAAGCAATTGTTCAAAATAATATTAAAAAGAAAGGCATCTGAACGCCTGGGGTAAGATGAGACAGTTTTCACTTGAGTTGTAATCTAGGAAAGGAGAAATGAGACCGAATGTGAAACCAAATTATGACTTTGCAAAAAATAAAGAAAAAAAGTGCTTTAGTGGTTCAACTTGCGGCACATTCGAGTTAAGTTAACCCATGCGAAAGCATTAGCTGAGCCATCTGGATTATTAAACAGAAGATCAGTGTTGTAGTCGAGACCACCTCACTCGAGTCTGAGTCGAGACCGAGTCCATAGAGAGTCGAGTCCAAGTCGAGACCGAGACCAGTGAGGGTTGATTACCTAATTTACTTTTATTTACTTAGAGAAATCCTTTATTTTTACTGAATTTACTTAGAGTTTAAAAAATATGATCAGTTTAGGGTAAAAAGGCCACATAGTAGGTGGTGTTAAAAGTAATTTTATTACAATTTGTCATGCGCAGATGCGCACTAGAAAATCACCCATCACTGGGCGTGTCAATCAATTTAAAGAAATATTTTATTAACATACATTAATAATCATGACAAATATTTTGAATTGAACTCGAGTGGACTCGGGAATAAGTCCGAGTCCTAAGAAAAAAAATGTTCGAGTACGAGTCAATTCCGAGTCCAAATGCACACGAGTCCATGACAAGACCATTAAAATACGGTCTCGAGACCGAGTCCGAGACGAGTCCGAGTCTCGAGTACTACAACACTGCAGAAGATTATAAACATAAATAAAAATTATCGGGTTCAAGCATTTGAGGCATTTGAGCACACACATAAAAATATATTATACTTAATTTAGCAAGAATGTTACCATCTCAATCATAGATTACAGCAAATACAGGAAATTTACCTTGGGAAATACCAACGCATTCTCATCTTAGGGTGTCATATAGTGACGCTTTTGCCAATGCGTATACATCCAACGCACATGGCACACTTTAGCATCAATATAACACGCTTCGGTTATGGGTAGGTTTAGGTCTCAGGTAGTGTTCGGGTTAGACCACTAGGAGGCGCCTTCTGGCCCATTTATATCTGCGTCTCATATTAACGCTAAAGGGTGCCATGTGTGTTGGATGTCTACGCATAGGCAAAAACGTCACTATATGACATCTTGTGATGAGAACGGGCTGGAAAAAAAGTATATGGATTTAAAGTTAACAGGAATAGGGTTAGTCACGTGAGTTTTCACATAGGTGCGCTGAGTTTGGTGAAAATATCTCATTACGTTCTTGAGTTATAGCCATTATAGCCTAAACAAAATTGACAATTGTTTTTGCCAGTTATGGCCATTTTAGTAAAAGTGAGTGAACGTTTTGGCGGCCCTTAGCGACCGTGAGTCTGACTATCAATAATTACTTTTAAAAAGTAGAATTTTCAGATAATCTTCCTGCACGAGATTGTTCACAAGATTGCTTCCGATCAGACCAAAAACCTGGGCTAGTTCACAAAAGTAGGTTTTTCAAAATATGCAAAATACCCCAAATTTGTGCCGAACAACGAGTAAATTACTTTTGTGAAAAAATGGCAAATATTGCATGATTATAGAACCGAGTGGAAGCTTTTAAAGCTATTAAATACTGCAGGAACAGGAGAAATCCCATCAGACCTCTACTAGACACACACAGTGAGTGGCTCATCTTACCCCATATCGAACATATAAATACTCTTAAAACATCATTGCGGGTGTTGAGTGCAATCATTTAAAAGGAGAATAAGAAAAGATCAGTGTAATGCTGTGCTCACCATAGACGGTAACACTGAACGTCTTGACTGAGACCTTGTTTCCGGTGACGATCTCCACTGTGTACGGTCCAGAGTGTGGTGTGCTGGTGTGTGTGATGGTCAGCGATCCGGTCTGATTGTCCAGCTGAAGTCGGTCTCTGAATCTCCCATCAACACTATCATGAAAGATCTCATCATGTGCTCGGTGGATTTTAGCTATGTGAGTGTCTTTAGGTCCAAATGTCCACAGAATCAGATCGTCCGTGTGTATTTGAGTAACATTAGTGTGAAGAGTGACCGAATCTCCCTCCATCACCTCTGTTGACCTCATTTCATCCGTCTCAACACCTCGAGAACACACAGGAACTGATGGGTAGTTATTTCAGTCATTATATGATCATTTCATTTTCTCATTCAGTTAATTATTTTAGATGCTGTCATGTTGTAAATTGAACTAAAAAACATAACTTACCAACTAAGCTCCACAAACCGAGACAGAATAAAATAAATGTGTGAGGCATTTTCTTCAGCGAGATCATGAGCCTGAGAAAGAAACTCTGTGAGGTTAGTCACACATCTCTCTGAGAAAGCGTGTCTCTGAACGACCACAAGTGCAGTTCCCTGTTTAGTGTGTACTGAACAGGCGTGTCGGTGTGTGTTTCACACTCTTAACACTTGTAGGAAATAGAAATACACCTTCACCTTAATAAAGTTTGTAATTCTACAATATCTTTAAATTTGAATAATCCTGACCTAATAAAGAGTGGATTTGTGTGGTCTCTGCTTTGAAAATAATGCGAATGGCTCTTTTCTGTCAAATAAATAGGCGCATAAAATAAATGTACGTTGTGTAAAATTGTGTTTAAACGTGAGTACGTCTATTAAAGAGTGTATGTGTACAAATAGAATTTTAAAACAGTTCTAACACAACCCTTTTTTCGTTCTTATGCCAAACTGTTATTGATGTATTGAAGTGTTTCGGAGCTGAATCTCTGACAAATGTCAAACTTCCAACACCAAACCACCTTTATATCGATAAGTGTTGCTGCTGTTTTATTTCTACTCTTGTGACACATTTGTTAGTTACTTTACATTGTTAAAATAAACTGCAACGGTGCTAAATACTTTACATTTGGGATCCACCGATACCATTTTTTCAGAACCGATCCGATCCGATACAACCCGGTCTCATCCCAAGACGTCATATAACCGACGTTTTGGGACGTCTTTTGACCATACGTCAATATTCGCCTTTTTAGGGCCCCCTTAAACGTCGGTAGATGAGGTTATGGGATCCTAACGCTACCCCATACCTAAACCTAACCCTAAACCTAACCCGTCACCTAACTGACGTTAAAGGTAAAGCGTCAGTTGTATGACGGCCCGGGATCGCCATCTACCGACGTTTAAGGGGGCCCTAAAAAGGCGGATATTGACGTATGGTCAAAAGACGTCCCAAGACGTCAGTTATATGACTTTTTGGGATGAGACTGTGTTATCCGATACTAAAAATTCTGAGTATCGACCGATACCGATCCGATACAGCACAGTTTTCTTTTTAAAATTAAGTAGGATTTCTACTTTCTACACACAATCTACTTAAGTCTTCTTCTTAAAAAAGAAGAAGTCTACTTAATACAGACAACTTCATTATAAAGAAAAACAATAAATAAATAAAAAATATATGATCGTAATCTCACAAAAATGCTATTATAAACTAGATTAGTGTATAATTCATCAGTTAAATTGACTCTAGAAAAATCACGGGTGCACAATTTTTATAAAATCTGAACATTTAGAGAAAAAAAACATTGTTTAGTGGGGAACAAATAGAGACTAATGTAGTACTAAATCTGGCAAAAATGTACACATTGCTCTTTGTATTGTTGTAAAATACGTTCATGAAAAACAAGATAAAAAAATCAAAAAGACTTGCAGGTTGACTTCCGCTTATTTGTTCTAGTTACTGTATAAGTTTTAAAGAATGTCTGCAAAGTACGTTTGCAAAAATAAAATCTATCTTGAATTTCTCTTGTTTAAAAAATAACATTGAGTTGAAAATTAATCATACTAGCATAGAAATGATTTTGTGAATAAAAAAGGGTTTTTGATTTTTACTTGAGTATAAAAGATTGGGAAACACAGATCCATGTCATCTTGTGTTTTTGTCTTAACAGACTTTAACACAAATAATGTGTTTCTAACAGCAAACACTCAGAATAAAGTGAGGTGATCTGCTGATGATCCTGAATGGCTTGTTGAATGAGTGTTGATAGTCTGAGGATCATCAATATTAACAGATCTGCTGAAAACACTCTTTATTTCATGACAATAGTTCCTGTTTTCACCTCATTTATTATGCTGATGTCTTCACAGCTCCTGTAAATGGACACTTAAAGCTCATTTCATTGGTGTCAGCAGACTGAGGGGATTTGGTAGCTACTATATGTGTGTTTATTTCTGTTTTTATGGTTTTTCTTACAGTTCTTTACTACTTTTCTATATATCTGCCATTCTTTTAGTGAAGATATATATATATATATATAGAAACCACAACACCATAAACAACACTCACAGCACCTGTTTATGGACAGATTGAGGATTTCTGGACCAAAAACTTAGGACGTTAGTATGAATGTATTGAGTTCTTTTCCCTTTTAAAAGCTCTCATGTTTTTCAGCACATATTTTTTGGATCTAAAAGTTTTTTTTTTTTTTTTAGATCCTTCATCATTGTGTTAATGATCCATTCATGTTTTCTTTAATTTGAAGTCTTTGTACTTTGCCACCAACGTTCAAACAACTTTTTGTTAGCAATACGTTTTTAATTATTTAAAAACAATGAAATTTAGTATGATCTTTTATTTATATTTAAGTTCTTAGTATGATCTTATATTTATAAAAAAGTCAGAATAATTAAGTTGTTTCATTACACATATATATATATATATATATATATATATATATATATATATATATATATATATATATATATATATATATATGTTGTGCTGAATGTGAATCCAACATTATTTCACCATATTCTGACATTTTGTTTGCACAAAAGTTATTTGAAACATTACACTTGCATTTACTGGGTTTTCTATGTCAACATCACGTCTTTTTTGATTTTGGCAGATCAGCTCCTCCCACTGCAATTACATCATCATTGAAGCTCCTCCCACAGTAATTCAGCAATAAACACTGTAAATTCCCATCAGCTGCCAGTGAACACGAGCATCAGGAAGAGCTGAAATCTGCAAAGACTGAGTTTATTAAAGAGGACAGTGAGAACATGAGAGATCCAGAACCCTGCAGAATGAAACACACTGAAGATCCTGAAGAACAAAGAGGTTGGTGTTTATTCTTCATTCATTCATGATGCTGGAGAACATTCATGTTGGAAACATTCAAGCTCTTCATCACATTTAGATAAAGAGTTAAACTGGGTACAGGGAACATTTCAGCAAATGTTCAGTAAAGGGGAAACTTTCATATTGATTGTCAATATCAGGTCAAATAAAGTGTAATTTTAGCTCTGGTTTATATGTAGTTTGCATTTTTTTGCAACCATGTTACAAAAATGTTGAACATTTCTCAATATAGTTGAGTTATTATTATACTATAATATATATAATGTATTATTATATTATTATTTATTGTTATATTTTTAAAGGGTAACTCAATTTAATTAATTGTGACAAATGAGTTAATTTCATTTAAAGGGTAACTCCCCCTGGTCAGAACCGGACTCCGCCCACTCACAATATTTGATAAATGCTGGAAAATGTAAATATACAATGTAAATATTTTTTTCAGTATAAGAGATGTTTTTTTATGCAGTTCTTATTTCTAGTGATTGAATTCAACAATTGAGTCAATTAATATTTAAACATTACACACAAAAAAATAAAGTATTCAAGATTACAAAAACAACATTGTGATGAGAAGTCTTTTTTTTTTAAAACTTATTACAAAAAAGACTTAGAGTTCCTGTCTGTATTTGAGACTACAAATTTCAAGTCAAGTCACCATGTACAGAGTGAATAGCAGCGGTCCTAGTACTGAGCCTTGTGGTACGCCATACTGAACTTGTGCTCGATAAGACATCTCTTCATTTACTGCTACAAACTGATAACGGTCAGATAAGTGTGATTTAAACCATGCTAGTGCAGTTCCACAAATGTCTGCATAATTTTCAAGTCTATTTTAAAGAATGTTGTGGTCGATAGTGTCAAATGCAGCACTAAGATCGAGTAACACTAATAGAGAGATACAACCACGATCGGACGATAAGAGCAGATCATTTGTGACTCTAATGAGAGCTGTCTCTGTACTATGATACAGTCTAAATCCTGACTGAAAATGATCACAGATACCATTTCTTTGTAAATAGGAACATAGTTGTAAAGGTACTGCTTTTTCCAGTATCTTTGACAGAAAAGGCAGATTCGAGATTGGCCTTTAATGGATTAATTCTGAAGGATCGAGTGTGTTTTTTTAACAAGCGGCTTAATCATAGCTAGCTTACGTATCCTAGCGACAAAGACGAATTAATGATATGAAGAAGAGGATCTATGACCTCTGGAAGCATCTCTTTCAGTAGTTTAGTAGGTATAGGGTCTAACATACATGTTGATTTAGCGAGTTTGCAAAATTCACCCTCTCCTATAGACCCTTTTACAGTTGGTAAACATGGTGACGTTTTTTGTGGGCGGAGCTTAGGTGGAGGCAGATCCATCTGGCCGCTTCACTAACGCTAGTTAGCAAGGATTGTTAGCTTGTTTTTTTACCAATGACTGGAGAAAATCCGATATTATCTTAATGTGTAAGGTCACTCAGTGTCCAGGACCGCGATTGTTATTTCCAAAAGTTATTTTTAACGGACGGAACCAGATTGGCCGACCCGTAGCCGCCTACACACTCACTCAATGCATGGACGATCTGACTGGATTAACGTACGTTACCTCGGTTGAGTCCGATCGTAAAGAGAAACTGAGGGCATATAAATCTTTAGATGCCTATATGGTCCTGTACAAGACTTGTGTGTACGATCCGCAGTTCTGCCGAGCCAGCGCCGAGACCACGACAATGTAAAGAGTGACATTACAGTGCAGTTTTAATCATGTGAATATTTCCTAGAAATAAAAGTTCCAGATACAGCATATTCATTTTTCATCAATTCTGGCACCAAACAACACAACAAGATGACATTTAATAATAGTAACAATTATTTAAGCTCCTTATTATGTAGCCGAATCTGTGCTGGTTTGTATTGGCCGCCTCCAGTTTTCACTTTGTTTTGCCTCCAGCTAGCGCCGTGACGTAACTGTGACGTCGGCGCAAAAGGCAGCAAATGAACCAAATCTTTCCTCAGGGAGACAACAATGCACTTCCTGATGCGATACTGTAGTAGATGGTTGCATAGTTTTAATTTTCTCAATATTTACAATCTTCTAAGTGAAGAAATTCATAAAGTCATTACTGCTGTGCTGCTTGGAAACATCTGGGCTTGAAGCTTTCTTTTTCGTTAGTTTTCGTTAGACTTGTAGAAACAGCAAGTTTCATTAGTGACTGGATTCTGTGATTCCATCCTGTTTTCTGCATCTCAGGAATCAAATGCTCTACATGCTATTTGCTTTAATTAACTGGCTTTCCAACTTGAACTGGAACGCAGCGAAACTCGTGTTTCTGATGTCCCACGTTCACATGCGTCTGAATGGGAGTCATGGGGCGGTGATGGCGCAGTGGATATGACACATGCCTTTGGTGTGAGACACTCGGGTTCGAATCCACTGTGAGACACCAATGTGTCCCTGAGCAAGACACTTAAAGGGTTAGTTCACCCAAAAATGAAAATCAAGTCATTAATTACTCACCCCCATGCTGTACCAACCCCGTAAGACCTTCGTTCATCTTCAGAACACAAATGAAGATATTTTTGATTTAATTTGAGAGCTTTAAATTCACGACGCATGCGCGAGAATTGCGATCTCCTTCAACTACTTCAGTTCAGTTCTCGCGCATGCGTCGTGGAAATCTAAGGAAGTCTCGTTTCTGGCCAACAAGGAATAGTCGAATAAAGTCGTTATTTTTGTTTGTTTTTTCGCACAAAAAGTATTCTCGTCGCTTGATAAACTTATAATTGAGCCGCTGTAGTCACATGGAATATTTAAACATTTTCTTGATTGACTTTCTGGGCCGTCAAGAGGCAGTCCCTTAGGAGCCAATGTGATAGTTATACAGCTCTCAAATTTAATCAAAAATATCTTCATTTGTGTTCCGAAAACGAACGAAGGTCTTACGGGGTTGGAACAGCATGGGGGTGAGTAATTAATGACTTAATTTTCATTTTTAGTTGCTCCAGAGGCGTGCGACCTCTGACATATATAACAATTGTAAGTCGCTTTGGATAAAATCGTCAGCTAAATGAAGAAATGTAATGGGAGTCATTGGAATTAAATGTCTAGTGTGACTGGACTGTAATAATTAAAAGGTTTTAAGTCAAATAAATTAAACATCAATCTCAACATTATGACACTATTGTATGATTTTTAATGCTAATATATTACGTTATATAATTGTGTCATTGATCAAATATATTTAATAGTTCTTGCTACAGAAAGATGGGTTTTGTGTCTATAATGTTTTAAAAAAGTACTTTTTGTTATTACATCAGAGCTCTTTTATACGTCCTTTCACTTCATGTTCCTCTCTTTGAATTATTTTTGTTGTACTCAAAATTAAACTTTTTTTCCTTTCATTTCAGACCTGATGGAAGTGAAGGAGGAGAGTGAAGAACTGAGTGAAGTGAAGGAGGAACATCATGTCAAACCTGGAGGAAAACCCTTGAGTCGCTCAAAGACTAAAACATTTTTTTTAAAGAAAAGAAGAACCAAGAAATCTTTCACCTGCACTCAGTGTGGGAAGAGTCTCACAACCAAACAACATCTTGATGTTCACATGAGAATCCACACCGGAGAGAAGCCGTTCTCATGTGATCAGTGCGGGAAGAGTTTCACACAATTATCATCCCATAAGAAACATATGATGATCCACACCGGAGAGAAGCCGTTCTCATGTGATCAATGTGGCAAATCATTTATTACTGCATCAGACCTGAAGATACACCTGACGGTTCATACGAAGGAGAAGCCGCATTCATGTTCTGTGTGTGGAAAGAGTTTTTCACTGCTGCGATATTTACATAAACATCAGAAAATCCACACTGGTGTGAGAGAATACATGTGCTTTGAGTGTGAGAAGACTTTTACTACAGCGGAAAGTTTAAAACTGCACGAGAGGATTCACACTGGAGAAAAACCTTACAAGTGTTCACACTGCGACAAGAGATTCAGTCAGTCAGTAAATATGAAATCACATGAGATGAGCCACACTGGAGAAAAACCTTACAAGTGTTCACACTGTGACAAGAGATTCAGTGACTCATCAAATCTGAAAAGACATGAGATGATCCACACTGGAGAGAAACTACACACGTGTGATCAGTGCGGGAAGAGTTTCTCTATTAAAACTAACCTGAAGCAACACATGGAGATCCATACGGTGGATAAACCACTGAAACACAGTCTGAAATCACGCTAAGATGATTTTCATGTGCTGAGAAACAAAGTCTCTTCTGTGTAAGTTAGCCACACATCACCCGCCACATCTCTCCTCTCCACCTATAGCCGGTGTGTGGTGAGCACGGGACACTTTGTTCATTGATTGGTATATTAACTCATAGGTGTATATGCCATTCTTCTTTCAGACGAATACAGTCAGAGTTATATTAAAAATATCCTGGCTCTTCCAAGCTTTATAATGCTGTTTTGAAGTTCATAAAAGTGCATCTATGCATGATAAAAGTGCACAGCGATACTTGTGCGTCTTTTCTGGCGTCTTCCTCCTGAAATACACATTTAGTGCAGCAGCAGCGAGTCTGAGGAGAATATGTGGCGTTCATTCAGACCTGAGCGAGTGTGTGTTCGTTTGTGTGATTGTCTCGATGTTTGAGCGTAGTCATCTGGAAACGCTCGGTCAAGCCAGCCGCCGTCTAGATATTGATGCTCGTCTATTTGTGGAATTACAGTATGGATACATGGAGGTGCCAAAAAAGCTGAGAAATACTTGTATTTCAACAATTGCAACCTATTAAAAGCGTCCTCAGGTTACGACTGTAACCCTTGTTCCCTGAGAAGGGAACTCAAACTGCGTCAAATGACACTTTGGGGGAACACCCCTCAGCGTAGCGCCTCTGAAGTATGAATGAAACTGTGCCAATCTCTGATTGGTGTTGCGTCATGACGTAATGTGTGACGGCACATAGGCAGTAGCTATATAAGGACCCGGCACACATGAGATGTCAGCTTTTTTGTTCTTCAGCAAGCGCTGTCAGCTTCTGTGGTGAAGCGAGTGCTCCCAGGCAGGGACGTGGGAACTATTTTGTGAGAGGGGGGTGTGAAACTATTTTGTAACTCTGTCGGAGTTACGCACCGTTTCGCATATTTGATTGGTATTAAATGCATTTTCTGAGAATTTAATTTTTACTGCAAAAGTTTTTACTGCAAATGTCGAAATGAATCCAGTCAAGTTGTTGATTAAAACCATTGATTAAAATGAAATACAATTTATAAAAAACGAAATTCTTTTAAAAACATAATAAGTCAGAATTAGGCTATGCAGTCCCTCCAGGATTTCACGATTTTTTTTTGTGATTTTTGCGATCAAAATGACTGATTTTGTGGTGGTAATTTCCAAAAATTTGTGAAAAAATTTGCGATTTATATATAACATTTACCATAATAGTATTCAGTCCTTCCAGAAAAACGCGGAGTTTTTTTGTGATTGTTGCGGGCAAAAATTGATTGATTAGCCTGCTCAGCCCGTTTTCTTTAAAAATGCGATGGAATATGCGGGATGCAATTTTATGCGATGAAATTGCAGGAATTTGCAAAAATTGAGAGAACTTGCAAAAATTGTGGTTTGATGAAAAAGATTTCTCTTTTTCAGTGATTCCCCCAACATCCTGTTCTCACTAGGCTAATGTAAGAGTCATTTCTTATTACTTCCTTTGATAAGCAAGCATACTACATCATAGAAAGTGCTGGGAATATTTAATTTCTCATCTTGTTTTATTTCAGACTGTAACGAGTGTAAATAAGGTGTGGCCCCTTTAAGAGCTCTCTGCAGTGTTATATGTGCGCCTCAAACGCCCCATGTGTGCGGGTAATTTCTGTTTGATGCTACTTCTTTTATCTTATGTTGTTTATTAAGTAACGATGTGACGGTAGAACGTGTGACAGACAGTTATACGAGTTCGATTTGTGAGATGTCAATCGCCTCCGTGAGTCTGTCCGGCGTCGCGTAATTGCGTCACTTCATAACGTTCCCATGGAAACAGGGGGAAATGGCTGCTCTTGTGTGAAGCAAACGGAACATTTTTTAACTTTCTACTAAAATACACGTGACTTTTTTTTGCAACGAAAATGCGAGGATTATGAAATTATGCAAACCCCGCATATTTTGCAAGGAAATCGGCAATTTATGCGGCGAAAGTGCGGCGTATTTGAAAAAATGAATATGCGGACTTTGGCTGATTTTGCATTGAATTCAGCGATCGCATAATCGCGTTTTTCTGGAGGGACTGGCTATGTCTGACCCATTCCAAATGTTTTCCGATATATGGTGACTCAAGCACTGATGGACCGCTCCTTGATCCATCATTGCTTGAGTCACCATATATATCGGAAAATAAAACGTTTTAAACATCAATAAAACATCTCCTGTTAACTAGCAGAGCATTAATTTAGTTCGTTTAAATAAGAGATCTAGTGCTAAAACGTTTTGTTTTTGAAATCAAGAAGAACGCTTGTTGCCGCTGCTGTCAGTTGTATGCATAACGTTACAGTGTTCTCTGTGGCGCGCAATCTTTACTGATCTCTCACTTCAATCGCCGTTACGGAGACTCTATTCATTCTGGTAAAATCACAAAATAAACGTGTCCTATGCTTGATATTGACTGTAACCACTGATGGACATATTCTGTTTTGATGAGAGAGAAAAAACTTCACCGAGGGCGGATTAGAACCCGTAACCTCTGGCACTCTGGGTAAAAGATCTACCACAAGGCCATTGAAACGCTCAAATATACGATTTATTTACGGATTTATCTACGCGCTGCCTCGGCAAAAGGCGAGATTCGAGTCATTCACAATATATTTGGCTTTCGTTTCTCGAGAAGAAAGTCAATGGGCACAAGGCTGAAACACCCGAACGCACGGCTGTGTGTGCGTCGAGATATTTCTCAATGAACACAGCCAGCGCCCTCAGGAGCTGACTGTGCATGCCTCACACCCACACAGAAACTTTATTGCAGAGTAGACCGAATCTGCGCACTGCCTCGACAACGCGAGTCCGATACTATAGATTCTTAATTGCAATGCAGACCTTAAAGGGTTAGTTCACCCAAAAATGAAAATTCTGTCAGTATTTACTCACCCTCATGTTGTTCCAACCCCGTAAGACCTTCGTTCATCTTCGGAACACAAATTAAGATATTTAAGATATTAAGATCGCTCCTGCATACAGTCCATAGGCTTCTTGAGGGAATGACACTTGAAGGCCTTGAAAAGTAATTAAAGACATTTCTCGTCGTTTGATAAAGTTAAGATTGAGCCCCTGTAGTCACTTGGACTATTTTAACTAGGGATGCACCGAATATTCGGCCGCCGAAAGACTTTTATCACCGAAACAATACGGCCGAAATGTTGTGATGACGCAAACAGAAAACGCGACCTGCACGTGCTTGTCTGAAGCAACATGTCTGCGGTGTGGACGTATTTCAGTGTATCTGAACCCGCGATGAGACGGAAACCTTGTTTATCCACCTAAGTTATATCTGCTCTAAACAATGCGTGCCGCCATGACGACGAATCCGGTTGCGAGCGGGTCAAGAGCGGTGCGCGCGCTGTCTGTGGAGACTCGCGCTGCGGAGGCAGGCGAAAGTATAAACAAGGCAGCGCGAGTCTCCACAGACAGCGCGCGCACCGCTCTTGACCCGCTCGCAACCGGATTCGTCGTCATGGCGGCACGCATTGTTTAGAGCAGATAAAGGTGGATGAAACAATTAGAAATTATAAATAAGACTCGCGCTGCGGAGGCAGGCGAAAGTAAACAAGGCAGCGCGAGTCTTGACGCGCACTCCGTTGCGCGTCTTGTTGTACTATTCCTTGAAACGACAGGGGACGACTCAAGTACCTGTCCTCTAACCATCAGGAATCGATGAGAAGAAGACAGATAAATACATGACCATGTTTATTTTTTAGTATTCCACCAATACAAAAATAATCATGTAAAACCCAGTAAACCCTGAGATTATTGCTTGTTAGCCTAGATTACAAAAAAAAAAAATGTATATGGGAACATGTATGTATAGAACTAAATTAATGCTCTCTTAAATATTTTCTACATTCACTAAACATGTTTCATTAAGTTTCATGTACATTTGTATTAAACATGGACCATTGTTCATTTAAAAAGGCTTTTTATGCTATTGTATGCAAAATTTTTAAAATGCAACTAATTTAGACATGCAAACTGGGTGCTAGTGTGATGAGAAGTTTGCGCTCGGCTTTGTTTTTGAGAGAACATTTCATTTTAAAACCTTTCTGCAAGCCATCAGATTATTATTTAGTGTACACATGAGTGGGGTCAAGTTAAACATTTTAGTTTGAATTTTATTTTATACTGTGCATTGTGCTAAATAAATATTTGCATATATTGTAATTGATTTATTCTTTGAAAATGTTATATTAATTTATGCAATTGCAATGCCTTGATTTTAGTAAAGTTTGTACACAGTCATAGCCATAAATGCAATGATACTAATAATTGGCATAATTTATTTCGGTGTTTCGGTTTTCGGTTTTCGGCCTTGGTTTCCTCTTTTTCGGTTTTCGGTTTCGGCCAAGAATTTTCATTTCGGTGCATCCCTAATTTTAACAATGTCTTTAATGACTTTTCAAGGCCATCAATTGTCATTCCCTCAAGAAGCCTATGGACTAGTATACAGGAGCGATCTTAATATCTTAAATATCTTAATTTGTGTTGCGAAGATGAACGAAGGTCTTACGGGGTTGGAACAACATGAGGGTGAGTAAAAACTGACAGAATTTTCATTTTTGGGTGAACTAACCCTTTAAATCTACACGCTGCCTTGGCAAACGCGAGATCCAAGCCACTAGATTCCATATTGCAATAATTCAGGACAATTCTTATGGGACAAACAACACCAAATAAAACAGACAGTTTGACACAGAGCGCTTGCTGAAGAACAAAAAGCTGGCATCTCATATGTGCCGGGTCCTTATATAGCTACTGCCTATGTGCCGTCACACATTACGTCATGACGCAACACCAATCAGAGATTGGCATAGTTTCATTCATACTTCAGAGGCGCTACGCTGAGGGGCGTTCCCCCAAAGTGTCATTTGACGCAGTTTGAGTTCCTTCGATAGGGAACTATTGAACTATTTTCAGTTGAACTAATTTCACAGATATTTTACTGTGGAGTTTTAACGGAAATAAAGGCAAAGTCTGTCAAAATACATTACCACATTGCTCATTTCTTGGATTTTTGTTCTGCCGTTATTAAAATTCCTGAAGTTGACATGCCATTTCCAATGAGAACTTTTTTTTGGATGACCATCACTCTGTCCACATAAATTTTGTGTATGTATATGTTTGTATATGGTGTGTTAATGTTTCCTGGATACTTGTCTGAGTTATATTAAGTAAAGATTATTGAATTTGATCTCTTGACTGCTGCC